CCGGCGATGCTCGCGACGCACATCGTCGAAGCATGCCGGATCTGGCGCTTCCACATCGAAGACCAACAGCCACGTAGCCAGATGTCTGCACAGCAGTGGCAAGCGCATTTGGCCGACGCCAGCAACGTCGTCGTCGACGCGGAGCGTAAGCTGAAGATTATCAAGCTGCCGCGTGATAAGCATGGCTGCGTGATTTTACCGCCAAGGGTGACGATTGCGGCTAACCACTTGAGCAACCTTGACGGCATGGTGATCATCGGCAAGATGTGGCGCACACCGCTCAAAACGGTGAGCAAGCTGGCCACGATTTTCATGCCGATGATCGGCGGCCTGATGTTTTTGAGCAGACAGGTGTGGGTGCGCTTTGCCCGCTCCAGCGATGAGTCTGCAAAGAAACTCACACGCAACCTGTCTCGCTGCTGGGACGTGCACTTGCCGGTGCTGCTGTTCCCTGAGGGTGGTCGCCGTCTCTACGGGCGCCTCAACCCATTCCGGCACGGCTGCTTCCGCGTCATCATCGAGAAGCGCATCTGTGTTTACACAATGGCGATCCACGGAACGCACTTGTGCTTTCCACCGCGCGTGTTCCAGATCCAGTGCGGCGACATTTACCTAGGCTTCGACGACTGCGTGTTGCTCGGCGACGCGGATTGCTCGCCGCAGCAGTTGACCGAAGCGTGTGTAGAACGGCTGTGCAAGATCATGGAGCGCATCCCCATCTACGACCCGATCGCGGAGCGACCTATAACTAACTACCTTGAGTACAAAGCTATCATAGCCCACGCGGGCGCAAAGTGCAAAGTGCGCGAAAGTCTACTAGACCAAGCCTCGAAAATGCGCACCATCGACCCCGACATGCTCAGCGAGCCCGAGTCGGACGGTTCTCAGTCCTGTTCTTCGTAAATTCGAGCAGATGGCTCCAAATTTCTTCGGTTTTTTCCTCTGCGCTGTTTAGTACTTGCGCAATGTTGCCGTGCGGCAACTCGTTCCAGCCCACACGGAGTACGGGCTTCTGTGTAGTGCCGGCGGCGCGCAGCAGTTGCTGCTGCCAGAGCGGAGGCTCGCGCTTCACTGGCGGCGGAACGAACACTGCAATCGTGTCGTCGAGCACACACAGCAACTCGCCTCCACTGCTCTCTAGCCGTTGCTGCGAGCCGTCCTGCTTCGAGAGCACGATGTATCTAGCATTGGGCAGCAGCGTGACGAGTGGCTGGCCCGCCTTGCGCGGCTCCGCGCTCAGCTCACCCATTAGACGGAGCAGCTTTGCGCTCGCAGCGCCGGCGACCGCGTTGGCAGACGCAGACACTCCGAAACCAAAGTTTAAGTTCGTCTCTTCGGCCAACCGGCGCAGCTCTGACACGTGAAACTTGCTCTCTTCTGCAGCGCGTTGCGAAACAATGTATACGCGTTGCGCGGGGTTTTGCTGAAAGCGATACAGTGCTGTGTGCATCTGCGGCGCCAGACCTGGCGCGATGGTCTCCAGCGCCTTGCGGCTATACAGCGCGCGCAGCAATTCTATTGAGGTGTTGCCGGCTCCCACCAAAATAAGCTCCTTGCCTTCGCTTTTCTGCACGTGTGCGGCGACGCGATCTAGCAACGCAGCGTGCGCAGTATAATCGCGGGTCGCGAGCGCGCGAAAAAAACTGTAAGTTGTCATGGGCTGCGCAGGGTTGAAGGGCTGGTAGAATGCGGCATTACCGCTGGCGAGAACCACTAAATCGTGCTCCCGCAACAACGTTGCGGCCGTTGCGGAATCTACGGGAGTGCTGCGGAACAGCCGGAAAGGCGTGCGCGAGCGCTGCGCAAACTTGTCGGCGGCTTCAAGCAGCGCGTGCGGCAGTCGAACTAGATCAGCTTTGTCGCGCATCAAGGAGTTTTTCACCAAACCGCCGACCTCGCGGTCCGCTTCGAACAAGCTGAGCTGCAGCGCGGGAGCGCCGCTGCCGCGCTGGCACCGCGCTCGACACAGGTTTCGCGCGACTGCAAGCCCGCTCACGCCGCCTCCGACGATCGCCACTCTTACAGGGGCATGACTCATTTAGAAGAGCACGCTACGCGAAAGTTCCGCGATCTCTACACTAGCATTCTAGCTGCGGAGGTCCCAATTTCCCTTGCGAGAGGTTATTATAAATAGATTATTACGCAGCCGCTGCAGAGGCGGCCGCGGTGGCGCCGAAGCGCACCGCGGGCTGCGCAGGGAAACTCACATGGGTTAGAATTTAGGTGCATATTTCGCTCGGAGATAAAGCGCTCCAAAATCCGACAAGCAATGGCGCGACTGCTGAACGGACCCCAGTTTCGGCAGCTCGCGCAGACGCTTTTTGGCCTGGGTACGGGCTACGACTTTGGTCCGTATCAGGATCCGAACTTTTTGTTCCCCGCTTACAATCTCAAGCCGTACAGCCACGGCGTGCAGAGCGCCGGAAGAGTCATCGAAATCGACGAGCGTGGCGAGGTCGCTGAGGTCCCAATGGGCGGCGGGCCCAGCGCAAACTCAAGGCCTCCAGACTTAGAGCGTCTGGCGAGTTTGGGGCGCAAGAACGCGGAGCTGCTTTGCTACGCCGTGGGCCCGAATTTGCTGCACGCCTACGCGTGTTCCGTGCTGCACTCCACGCGTTTGGTGAAAAACTGGACTACACTGTCGCTCGGCTGGGTCGAGAACGCAGTGAGCGAAGTGCTAGAGTACGCGAAAATGACGGCACTGCAGTCCGCTTCAACAGACCGAGAGCAGAGCGCGCAGATCAAGTACTACTTGATGGTTAGCAAGGCTCTGCTCGAATCGCTGTCTGACCCCGCGCTCAGTATTACGGAAGCCTCGATCATCAACAACCGCATCAAGGCACTGCTCACACATATGAAGCAGATTTTGCATCCGCAACCGCTGTATTTCTCGCGCACCGCAGAAGACGCGCGTAGCAAGTCGCTAAGCGTGACAGAATCCGCGCTGCTCAAGCCGCGCCAGTCAAACGATCCCGTGACCCTCCGCCAACTATTGGCCAGCAAAACAATCTCCCAAGCGCAAGCGAAACAGCTGGCGCACGCGATCCGCGCGCACGCCGCGGCGCTCGACGACAACGAAAACAAGGTGGAGAATCAAATTCAGCAAATCGTGGCAGAAACAATCGACGCGCCCGCCGGCGGCGCGTCAATCAAGGCGACTCCATTGCTGGAGTCGTGCCTCGTGAAGGACGCGTCGCGCCTACAGATGCTCAGCCAGTCGTGGTCCGTGCTTTCGCATCTTAACAGCGGCGAGGTGCAAGACGTGCTCGTTTCGCTCGAGCCCGCATCTTTGACGCTCAAGCTGACGGAATTTCTGCTCCAAGTGTACCCGCGTGCAAGCGAAACGCGCCGTGCAAGGCAGCTAGCTCTGCGTGGCGAACATAAGTTGTCTAATCTCGATCAACTGATGATGATGCTGTCAGCCTTGCTTTACAGTCGCGAAGTTCTGCTGCTTCACCGCTATCGGCTCTGCTACGGCGAAGCGCTGGACAAACACCTCGCCAACATGCAGACGCTGCGAGCCTCGCTGGAGCTGCTGCTCAACTCGACTAAGCTCAAGGCGTTCTTGAACGTTGTAAAGGCTGAGCTCGGCCGCGATATCACCGGCTTCGCGCTCGACGCCGTCGCCAACCTAGCACGCGCCGAGTCTGCGCACTGCGAATCGGTGCTGACGCGGACCGTGCGCAAACTGCTGCGCTCCGCTCACGGGAGGGCGGTGCTAGACGAAGTCGTGCGCGTCGGCAACTCCTGCGCGCGGCTAGCCGCGCAGGAAATAGCTTTGGTCATGGATCAAATTGACGAGTTTTCAAACGAGTTTCTGGCGTTCAGCGAGATGCTCTCGCGGCTGTACGCGAAGAGCAGCGCGTACTACTCGTTTTCCGGTCTGTTGCAGTTCTTCGAGCGCTGCAAAAATGAAGTGCAAAAAAGCGACGAAGAGAAAATCGCGCTCGTTGAGCTGAACCTGCGCGTTTGCGAGTACTTCGCTGCGCCAACCGCGTCCGCTGCAACTGTAATTGAAGCGATGGCAGCTTTAGGGGCGGACGTTGAAGAACGCCGCGCTGTGCTGGCGAGGCTCTAGTGCGAGCTTTTCGCTGCTCAGCGAAAAGTCACCGTTTCAGCGCTTACCGGCGCCACGGCGACGAGCCGTTTGCTGCTTGCTAAAGCGTAACTGCTACCGGTGCCGCGGCGTCGGTGAGGCTTGCGCGGCAGAGCGGACAGCGGTTCGAGCGAGAGGCGCTCATGATGGCGCACGTGGCGTGAAACATGTGCTGGCAGTTGGGCAGCCGGGTCACCATTTTCTCTTCGTCGAACGTCTCCAGGCACAGCGCGCAGACCTCGTGCGCGAGACTTGTCGGCAGCGGCTCGCTCTTGATGCGCCACAACAAATTGGGGTCAACGTCGAGCGCGCTCGGCGAGGCGAGGCATTCGAGGAAGACGCGGCGTACGGCTTCCTCGCGCTTGACGCTGCAGATCAGCCTGAGCGTTTTGACTGCGTGTACGCGCGGCTAACTTACTGAGCGCGGAGAGCAGCTCCGCGTTAGACAGCAACAGCAAGGCAAGCGGCAGCGCGACTTCGACGAAGTCGATACCCGCTTCCTCGAAGCTTCGCCGGCGCCATCCGCCGTGCGCCAACCAGGGCAGTTCGAGCCAGTCCGCTGCGTGCTTGCCACACTCGACGAGCAGCGCGTTGAAGACGACAAGCCGGCAAAACAGCTGGCAGCCCTGCACTGCGGAGCGAAAGTCGCGCGTGCCGGGGCGCAACCACCGCGCGCAACCCGGCTGCTTGCGCTCCCACTCGCGTGCGAGCGAGTGCGTCAGCTTGGCGCCCATAACTAGCGTTAGAAAGCGCGGCTGCGAACCGCCGAGCAGCACAGCGCGCAGCAGCCCGTGGCCGAGCCACACCGAGAGCAGATAGTCGGAGCTTTTCAGCATTGCGAGAGATCAGCGGGACTTTGGGCAGATTAAATTATGCAGGCAGCCTATGCTGTTGCGTCGCTCATTTATTGCGGCTAGATCGAACAATAATCCGATTTTCGATTAATTTCCGAGTAAACTGGCATGTGAGCGTGCAATGCCGTCGGCCTGCTTTATCGTCAACACCGAAGCTTACGGTCGGTCGTTGGTGCTCAACGAAGGCTGCACCTGTGGCACAATCATTCTCGAGGACAAAGCCGAGATCGAAACGTCGATCAACGTGAAAGACTGCAAACTGTACAAGCTCGCGAATTTGCTGGTTGGACACTGCGGCGAGGGCAAAGGCCCGGAACAGCACAAACTGCTCGAGACCGCCGCGATCTGCTGCCTTGCCTTCGTGGAGAACCACGGCACGATTCCAGCTCTGAACGATTATTACTGGTTCGAGTCGCAAGCGGCAGACTCTGCCGGACGGCTCTTGCAGACCTACGTAGAGGCGTTCGCCAAAAAAGCGAGCGAAAAGCTTGACGTGCAGAATCTCTACCGCTTTTGCTGCATCATGATCTGCAACAGCCACATCATCAGCAAAAGCACCGCCGCGCTCTTCCCACTGGTCAGCAAGTGCGCGCACAGCTGCGACCCGAACAGTCTGCCGTGCTACGACACCGAGCGCAAGCGCATGCAGCTAAAGGCGCTGCGCGACTTGAGCAAGGGCGAAGTGGTTTCGATTTCGTACCTGCAGCCGCTGATGATCCTCTGCGCCTCGAAGGCGTTCCGCCAGCTGTCGCTACGCGCGCAGAAGCTCTTTCAGTGTCAGTGTCCGCGTTGCGCGCTCGACGACGGCGGCGCGGAGGCGCTGGCCCGCGAACAGACCTACATCAGCGCGCTCGAGCAAATGCTCGCGGGCGACTACGTGCTAACGCATGTAGAGAGCGTGCTCGAAGAAAGCGCGAACGAGAACTTGTGCATAGAGAACCACATCTGCCTAAGCATGCTTATCTGCCTGACAATTCTCTGCGCCTGCCCGCACTTTTACGGCTGGGGCGCGGCCTTCTCCTCCGGCCACATTAGCCAGGCGCGCGCGCACATGTCGCGGCTGCTGGACTTGCTCACGCAATTCCAACTGAAAAATCAGTTCACCAATCTGCAGTACTTCAAAGAAACCGTGTTCGAGCAGTTCTCTGAGCGCATCAAAAAGTCGATCCAAACTGTTTCGTCAAACATTCGAAAGGCGGACGGAGATCTGCAGCTCATCGAAGCGCACAGCGAAACGCTGCTGAAACTCTGTTGCAGTAGCTGAGTACGCAAAACGGCGCACCGCGCCTCGCGGTCTACGCTCGCAGCGTGCGCAACGCTGTGCACCGTCTGTAACAATTTGCCGCTGGACGCGCGAGGCCATCTGCAGCGTCGCAAAATTCACTATTTTTCATCTATTAATCTCAACTGATCTCCGTGAGATTGGCGGCTAGCAGAGCGTGTCTCGTCTCGGATTGCCGCGAATGAACTCGATCGGCCTGCTCGCAAGCTATGTCGCGGCCATCGACAACCTCGTCCTGCAACACGGTTTTCTGAATCTTTCAAATTTCGCGCTGAGTAGCGAGGACGGCACCGGCGCACTTAACGAAGAAGCGGTGCAGCAATACGAAAGAACGGCAGTTATCGACAAATTGAAGCTCCGGCACTTCCAGATGCGAGGTTCGCTCGCCGAGCTGCGCAACTACTTGGTCAGCTGCTCAAACCAGATACGGGTGGAGAACGCGCAGTTTACGTACTACGAAGGAGCGACCGCCGTCATGCACAACGCGCAAGCCAGCGAGGATCCTGTCAAAGCGACCTGGATCTGCTTCACCAAAGACCTGACGCTTCTGCCGCAGAGAGGCTACACCGTGTACCTACAAACCGCCCGCGGCGAGCCCGCGTAGCCACTCCGCGGCTGCGCGACGCTACTGCGCGACGCTACTGCAAGTCTGAGTCGGTTTCGTAGTATTCAATGGAGGATCGCGAACGCCGCTTCGACTCGTGCTGCAGCTGCAGCCAGCGGCTGTGCAGGTCTTCGAATCGGTGCAACGCGTTCTCCATCTGCTGAACGCACGCCTGCTGCTTGCTCAGCAGCGAGAAGCACAGCTTCAAGCCGTACACATCCACGCTCGCGCACCCCGAGTTCAAGACGGCCAGGTTTTCCGAGTCTAACTGCATGTTCGCCAACGATTTCTGCATCATTTTGCATATGCCCAAGTGCGCCTGCTTTGCCTCCTCGAGGTGCGTCAAGCAACTAATCTGCTTTCTGATAAGCGCGTCGTAGAGCGCCAGCGCCTTCTTCGAATAGCGTTTCACCAATGCGTTTAGCTCGCTCTGCGGCAAGTTCTCGACAGAAAGCGCGTCCTCCATCGTGTCGTCCTCCGCCCAGTCCGCGAACTCCGGCGCGCAGCTGCTGTCCTGAACTATTCGCTTCAACTGCTCGAGTTCTACCTCTTCCTGTAGCGCACGCAAGTACGTTTGCGGCAACTTCGCGCCGGTCAGCTCTAGACGCAACGGCTCCTGTCGCGCGCCCACAGAGTTGGGCACGCCCAGGCCCCCACCTTCGCGCGTGACGGCGCAGCTCAAAGCGCCGCTCGACCCACCTTGCGCCCCTTCGTTCAAATCGGCAAGTTGCATTGAGGGAACCCGCGCCGCCGCGTTCGACCGCAATTCGCTGCGCAGCGGCGCGAAACACGCTATTTTCCGCCCTTCCGACTCGCTCGCGTCGCCAAGGTCTAAGCTCGTTGCCAGAGGCTGCTCGGGCTGCGAAGCCATATCGATATCCTCGCCCGCGCTGCAGCTATCGAACCGCTGCGACGCCGCGCTCTCGCTGTCCGACAACTGCAATAGCGACTCTACGCCTTCGCGCAGCAACACAAAGCGCTCCGCGTAGCGCAGCGTGTTCAGCGTTTGCTCGCTGTTGCTGCTCCCCGGCGAAATCGAAGCAAGCATGACGCAGTGACAACTGACGTTGGTGAAGTATTCTTTGAGCACTTTCGTCAGCTCTGAGTCGCGAAACGGCACGTGCGCAGAGCCCTGGTCCATCGCGCGAATGCACTCCTTCAACGCGAGCAGCGAGCGATTGATGCCTGCGCCGTCGGTTTGCGTAGAGCGGCCGAAGTGCGTCTGGTCTGCGGCGCGCTCGCTGCCGGCCAAGTCCACGAACGCGAGCTTGCCCGTCAGGCTGTGCGCGCGCTCGTTCTCCTTATTGCTGTTAACCCAGGCGGAACGCTCCGCGCCCGCAGCCGGGGCCGCGAGCTTCGGCTTCACCAGCATTTGAAAGATGCCGTGGCTGCGCGAGCTGACGTCGTTCTTGCTGTTTGCGGCGGTTGACCGTAGCCGCACGCCGGCTTCTACGACGTGCACAAAGTGATCCAGCGACTCGATCGGCACCTCCATGAGATCCTTGACGATCACGGTCTGGTTCGAGTGCTGCAGCGGGCGCACGAGCTTGCGGCGGTTCAGCAAGTCGTAGGCTTTGTTGCAGTGGATCTCGAAAAAAGTAACCACTAGTTGGAAACGTTGGTACTCCTCGCGCTGCAGCCAAGTCAGAAACTGTTCGCCGGCACGAACCCACACGCCTACCTCGGCGCGCTGCACGCCGAGCAACTTGTCGGTCTGCGGACCGAGCATAGTGTACGTCTTGCCGCTGCCGGTCTGGCCGAACGCGAAGCACGCACAGCGCGCGTTCTCGAGAAAAACTTTCCGTACCAGTTGCGAGACGCAGAGCGAGTACACATTGGCGTTCGAAGCGTCCGCGTCGAAGCAATAGTCGAAGCGGAACGTGTGGTCATTGACGCGCACAGCGCCCGTTAGCTCTTTGCGGCGCTCGTGCAGAATGAGCGTATTGCGATTCGCTACCTCCACGATGTCTAGGTCGCGGTTCTTACGTTCCAACTCGGTCAAACATCTCTTTCGCGCACAGACAGTGATCTTCGCGCAGCTGGCGTTGTGGTTGCGCCGCGTGTTCAATCCTCCTAGAGCTAACTCCTGTCTTCTTTTGTTGTCCAGCCCAGGTGGTCTGGAACGAATCATCTACGAGCTGCAAAACATCCTGGCTCCTGCCGAGCCGTAAAATAAGTAGCTCAAATAAGTGAATTTGATCGCAAAAATTGAACGCCAAAAACACACAACACCCGGCCCTACTCGGCAAGGTCCTCTTCTGCCGCGTAGTGCTTCAAGCACTTGTACACAAATGGCTGGTGCTCCTCCGGGCACTGCAGCAGCGCGACGGCATTCGCCTGCTTAGCGAACTGCTTGTGAACCAGTCGCAAAAACCTCTCCTGCCAGACAGTGGGCAAAAAGCGGACGAACTCCGTGAGCGGTGTCGAGTTCGCCAGTTTGAGCAACTCCGTCGAAATGAGCGGGTGCGTTGCCAAGCTACCGCAGTGGGCCGCGCCCCATTCAAGGTAGTCCGCGTTCTCGAGCGCGGCCAGGCGGACGCAAAGTAGGGCGCGGGCCTGCGAAACGTCGTTCTGCGAGGGCAGATTCTGCAACGCTTCCTGCAGCAGCTCAGCGGCGGTGCGCTCCTGCGCGTCCAGCTCCGGCGAAAACAGCCGAAGAGCGGCGCGTTCGAGCATCTGCGCTGCGCGAGACGTTTCTCTCGGTTCAACGTCTTTAAAGCCGAGGCGCGCCGCAGCCGCTTTGCAGAGCTCAGCGCCTTGCTGCTCTCGCGCGAGAGAGCCGAACAGATCCTTAAAGCGGTCCACGAAAACGAGCTCGATATTTTGCAGTTCGACGAAGTCTGCCGCGTACGACCCGCAGAGTTTTTCAAGCCGGAGCTGCAAAGGAGCGGGGCTGCCATTACTCGTCGCGGCTGGCAAGCCACAGCCGAAGGCGACGTAGCAGCCAACGACGTGCGACGCAAAGGTAGAGACGTCCTGCGCCGTTGATGCGTTCAGCCCGCGGTCGGTCTTCTGTAGCACAATGAAGAGCAGCTCGGACAAACAAACCAGCGCAGCCCAACTCGCGTTGCTGCACACGGAGTAAATGATGTCGCAGCTAAACTGCACGAGCTGCGTAAGCGGCACGTTGGTCTGCAGCAAGCAGTCGCGCAGCACCGCGCGCGCGGAGTCGAAGTCTTCCAGACAAAACGCTTCAGGATCAGCGCGAAACAAGTTGCCGTCGTCGGCAAACAGAGCGTCGCACAGGACGCTCAAAGTGCCGAGAAAAAAGAGCTGCCTATCGACGTCGGCAGCGCGCTCCGGCTGCCCGACGCAGACGATGGCCCAGCGTAGCAACGCTTCTGGAAGCAAGTGGCCTGTGCTTTGATGGTACGCGACTACGTTTGAGACAATGTGGGCGCGACAGCGCTGCACCAGAGTATCTGGCTTGTCGGCGCTATTGCGTGCGTTCCATACAAGCGCGCCGGCGCCTTTGCAGAGCTTAGGCAAGTCAAGCGGAAGGAAGATGCACAGCGCCGCGAAGTAGTTCTGTTGCGCGTCCCAGTCGTCCATTGCTTCAAACGTTGCAACCTCGGACCGTAATGCAGAAAACGCTTCGAGAATCTCCTTCTCGGTGACGGTGAGGGGAACGCGGTTCAAAACTAGCGAAATTAAGCTTCTGCTGTTGTGCGTGAAAGGCGCAGCCCCGCGGAAACAGTCTAACAGGCCAGGGTCGAGGCCAATTGGCGCGATCCACTCGCAGTCGGTCAACTTCGCTGCGTCCATAGTCCAGGGCCGCAGCGCGACGCGCGCACTCTTGCGAGAGAATTCTAAATAATGGAAATATGGAGGTTGTGCGATAGGAAAATGAACCGCTCAATCTCGAGTGGCAGAGCGTTTAGCCACATCCAGAGACGCGTGTCCGCGGCTCAGACAGAGCCCACAACGCTGCAAACTAGATGTTTAGAGACAAAACAGTTAAGAATTAGATCTAAATTTAAAATTGTAAATTTTTCAAAAGTTGAAAAGATGTCGAGCAACAAAGCCTCAGCAATTGGAATCGACTTGGGGACCACCTATTCGTGCGTCGCGGTGGTGGAGCCTCAAGGAGTGCAAATTATTGCGAACGACCAGGGTAACCGAACGACTCCCTCTTACGTCGCCTTTACCGAGACTGAAAGGCTCATTGGCGACGCTGCGAAAAATCAGGTTGCCCGCAACCCTGAAAACACGGTCTTCGACGCAAAGCGTCTGATCGGCCGCAAGTTCAGCGATCCGGCAATTCAGGCGGACATGAAGCACTGGCCGTTCAAGGTCCGCGCGGACGCCGGCGACAAGCCTATTATCGAAGTCAAGTTCCAGAACCAGCTCAAGGCCTACCACCCTGAGGAGATTAGCGCAATGGTTCTCGACAAGATGAAGGAGGTTGCCTCGGACTACTTGGGCAGCGAGGTGAAGAACGCTGTGATCACCGTCCCTGCGTACTTCAACGACTCGCAGCGCCAGGCGACTAAAGACGCCGGCGCCATTGCGGGTTTGAACGTTCTGCGCATCATCAATGAGCCTACCGCTGCTGCGATCGCCTATGGCCTTGACAAGAAGCACGAGAAAGGAGAGCGGAACGTGCTCATCTTCGACCTCGGCGGCGGCACGTTCGACGTCAGTCTTCTGACGATTGACGAGGGCATTTTCGAAGTTAAAGCGACTGCCGGCGACACGCACCTCGGCGGCGAGGACTTCGACAACCGCCTCGTGGACTACTGCGTGAACGAGTTCATCCGCATCAACAAAAAGGACCCCCGCGGCAACGCCAAGGCGCTGCGCCGTTTGCGCACGCAGTGCGAGCGCGCGAAGCGCACGCTGTCCTCGGCCACGCAGGCGCAGATCGAGATCGACTCGTTCTTCGACGGCGTGGACTTCAACTGCAGTATCTCGCGCGCGCGTTTCGAGAACCTCTGCATCGACCTCTTCAGGAAGTGCATTGCTCCGGTGGAGAAGGTGCTGCTCGATTCCAGCATCGCAAAAACCGATGTAAACGAAATCGTCTTGGTCGGCGGCTCGACGCGCATTCCGAAGATTCAGCAGATGGTCAGCGAGTACTTCAACGGAAAAGAGCCTTGCCGCTCGATCAACCCAGACGAGGCCGTCGCGTACGGCGCCGCCGTGCAGGCCGCCATTTTGACGGACTCTACGAACGAGCACGTGAGCGACATCTTACTGCTGGACGTGACTCCGCTTTCGCTCGGTCTTGAGACCGCCGGTGGCGTGTTCACCAAGCTGATCGAGAGGAACACCACCATCCCGACCAAGAAGACGCAGACCTTCACCACCTACGCTGACAACCAGCCGGGCGTGTTGATCAAAGTCTTCGAAGGCGAGCGTCCAATGACAGTGAACAACAACTTGCTGGGCACCTTCCACCTGAACGGCATTCCTCCCGCCCCGCGCGGCGTGCCGCAAATCGAGGTCACTTTCGACGTCGACGCGAACGGCATCCTGAACGTGTCTGCGGTTGAGAAGGCCACGGGCAAGAGCAACAAGATCACCATCCAGAACGAGAAGGGACGCTTGTCGCAGGCCGACATCGACCGCATGGTCGCCGAAGCTGAAAAGTTCCGTTCGGAGGACGAAGCTAACAAGAAGCGCATCGAAGCCAAGAACTCTCTGGAGAACTATGTGTACTCGCTGCGCAACTCGCTCAACGAGGAAGGCATCAAGTCTAAGCTGGACGCCGGCGACATCAGCTCACTGGAGGCCAAAGTCAACGAACTGCAACAGTGGCTGGACAACAACGTCAGCGCCTCGGTGGAGGATTACGAAAGCAAGCAGAAGGAGCTTGAGACTTTCGCCATGCCGATCATGTCGAAAGCTTACCAAAGCGGAGCTGCAGAAGGCGGTATGCCCGGCGGTATGCCTGGCGGTATGCCCGGCGGTATGCCCGGCGGCATGCCTGGCAACTTCGGCGGCATGCCCGGCAACTTTGGCGGCGCTGCTCCAACTTCGGGCCCGACCGTTGAGGAGGTTGATTAAGTCACCGTGCAACCGTAAATTGATTTGTACTGCCCGCTGAAAACTATGTTATAGTCTAGCTGTCAATTTTTTGAATTAGTGCTTTAATCTGCTCTAGTCGGATCTGCAGCTGCGAGCTATTCGCAACTTCAACTGCGGTGTCCAAACATAGACTGCACCAGTGCGCTGCATCGCCGCGCACGTATTTGAAGACGGCGAAATGCACCGCCTGCGCGCGCGCAGCGACACGCACATCGTTGATCGTTCGCTCCGCCGTCGTCGTCACGGTGATCTGCGGAGACTGTCGGAGATAAAACAGCTCAGACTGCGCCGCGCCGGCAACGCGCTGAAACTCAAGCGCATCGAGCGAGCACGGCAGCTCGAGTCGGACGCACGACAGCTCGTACGCCAAGCCGCAGCCAAGTTTCTTAAGAAACGCTTCTTTGAGCGACCAGAATAGAAAATAGTTTTGAACAGACCGCGCTTCGCAGTCGGTTCTGATTTGCGCCCACTCCCGAGCTGACATGGTGTTCATCATGTTTGCCAAAAACTGCGCCGGGGTCCGGCGGCTCGCTACAAGCCGGTCAGGCATTACGTCGAGACCGCACGAGCCTGGCGCTCCCACGACCGCCAAACCGCCGATCAGCGAAGCGGAGTGGCTGACACTGAAATCACGCACGGCGCGCGCTCCACGGAGTTTGGGCTTGCGGTTGCGGTTGCGCTCAATGTCGAGGTGTTCGCTGCGGCAGCTCTCGAAAGGCGCCAAGAAGCGACGGCAGAAAGAGAACGAACACAGGCGGTGCGTTTGCTGCTGAGGGTCGAGAGTTTGCACGCGCAGCTCGCTCTCACTCAGGCCGCGCCGCAACGCTGAGCACGGTAGCGCACTGAGCTCGGTCAGATCGCACAGCAAAAACTCGATCATACCGGCGGCGCCAGCGAGCGTCTGAAAAATAGAAAACAATTCAATTTGTGATTTCAGGGGGCTTGCGGCTCAGCGCGATGAACGCGGCTTTCGCGACTTTTTTGTTGTCGTTCGCAGCTGTTTTTGCGTATTTCTGCGCCCTCTATTGCCGTGGCGGCAAGGTTTTATTCGGCTTTGCTGCGCCAGCCTCTCGAAAGCATGGCGAGAGCCCATTGCGTTGCAGGATCATGGGATTGGCGGGTGCCGGTAAAACGACGCTTTGGGCGCATTTGAAACCCATCAAGTGTCCGTTCACTGCTCCCACTCTTCACGAGCAAAGCTTCGTTTTGCATGCAAAGGCTGATGTTTCCGCCACTTGCAGCGCATCCGCGGCGCAGAAAGCGAAAAACGTTGAGATTATCGACACGCCTCCGGTTGGCGAGAGTGATTGCGCCAACCCATTCGCTAACGGTTTCGACTGCACGCATCTCGTTTGGGTGATCGACATGCGGCGGCCAGACGCTGTGCTGAAGTCGGCCAGTTGGCTGCACGCGCTGTTTGCGAACACGGCTTTCTTGGAGCGCGCCCATACGCTCGCAGTCGTAGTGCGCAACCTTGACAAAGAATCGCTGTTCTCTTTGCCCGTGATTCGCAATACGCTGGAGTACGAAATTGAGGTGCGCCGCAAGCCGCGCAACTCGGTGGCAGAGTTCGAGAGAAAAACGTCTGCACTGCAACGGCTGGAGTCGAAAATAGTCGAGGCGTTTAAGCGTGCGGCCGACAGCTCGCGCGCGAAAAACGAATATCTGAAGCTAGAGCGGTTTGCTTTCGCGAAGTTCCCTGACCTAAAAACCGTAAGTTGGCAGTGATTTCAAGCAGATTTTCATCACAGCCGAATCGCCTATTACGACCGCGGCACAACTCAGACACGAGTTGCTCGCGTGAACGCTGCGCACGCAACGCGCTCAGTCTTCCGCAGAGACGCTGTCTTCAACAGACTGCTCTAGATTTTCGGCGAGCTCTGCGTCGATCTCTGACTCGCTGTCCGAGTCTGCTTCCTCGTAGAGCTCAGCGTACAGCTCCTCGCTCGCTTCCGAGTCTTCCGTCTCGCCGAGCTTCTTCTCGCCAGTTGCATCGCCTGTTTTGGCAACGGTTTGTTTTGCGGCGTCTTCTGTGGCTAGCTGCTGCTCGGCTTCGTCGAGTTTCGCGAGTTCTGCGACGAAGTCGTCGTAAGACACAGCGGACTTCAACAGCTTACTCGACTGAGTCTCTTCTCTGCACCAAGCCACCGTTCCGCCAAACACACCGCTGAAAACGCAGTCCAGCCGCAAATCCATGCGCGGGCCGACCTCGAGCACACTGGTGCCGGTTTCGAGCAGCTGCAAAATTCTACTCTGCAGCTGTTCCTCGGTGTCGCAGTTTCCGGCGTCTTCTTTGCGCTCGTTCGTCTTCTTTCTGCGAATCGACTTCGCCTTCCGCCGAGCCGCGAGCTTCCCCATTGCCTCTTTCAGCTCGTGGGCCTTCCGAACGACGTAGTGCCGAATCTGCATTCGCAGGTCGGCCCCGAGACTGACCAACATGATGCGCGCGGTCGCGACTTTGGCGAGGAAGTCGGACGCAGAGACGGCGCTGAACAGGTCGGCGAACAGCTGCTGCACCGAGCGCAGCACCACCGCGCCGAGGAGCGCTTCAGCGCCGGGCGCGTTGAAGCCGGCCATCACTAGCAGCGGCGGGTTCACAAAGTCGGCGGTGTTCGTCGAGCGGCCGAGCGCGCTGAAGTCGCGCATCAGTGAGTACCGCTGCAGACTGAACACCGCCGTGGGGCCCAATTTGCCGCGACACTTCGACGCCACCAGCCGAATGTAGTTGGGCATCTTGACCACTGAGAAGATGTGCGATATGCGCAACACGCCGGTGACGGAGAGCAGGTCCTTGATGGTGTTCTTCGCCGTGTACTCCAGATTGCGCGCGTTCCACGGCGAGAGCAGTCGGCGAAAGTCTTGCACGAGCAACTCTACGTTGCGCACGCTCTTGCCTTCGCAAATAACAACCGAGCGCGGGACGAGGTCGAGAGCGTCCTCATCGCTCGCAACGCGACGCCGTTTCAGCTGTTTGGCTGTCATCTTGCGCACAGGCACTCCTGGATCTCTGCTGCGCTATGCAGTTATGCTAAAATTTGTTACTCGCTAATTTAAATGCATTGAGCCGACAACACGATCGCGCAAGGCTCACACGTGCAGCGGAACGCTGTTCGCGACCAACGCGGCCGGCTTGATTTTCCCGACCGCCGTCATGCGTTCGAGGATTGTTTGCACCCACTCCTTCTTGTATCGCATCAATGTCAACTTCACGTCGATAAACAGAGAGCAGAGCGCGGGCGCAGCGACGCTGTAGTCCGACACGAGGTTCATCAGCAACAGAGCGAGTTCTTGGTCAGACGCGCGCAGGTCCCAGTAAAACGAGTCCTTAAGTCGCACGCGCTCTTCGAGCAGGTCGCAGCTAACTTCGATAATGTAGGTAAATGGCTCGTCTTCCGCCGTGTGCGGAAGCAGGTGTTTAAACGCAGTCTCTATGTCGCTCAGGTATACGTACTGCGACAGAAACTGTTTCGTGACAAAGTTGATCGTCGGCTCGTCCAACTGCTTCTCGGAGCGCCACTGCTCAAGCATCGGCTCGATGTTCGACGCTGTGTCGTTCATGTTCCACAACACCCAAAAGCGGCTCTCGCCGTCCTCCGCGTCGCGCAACCACTCTTTCTCCTCCGCGTAGCTGCGCAGAACGTTGATATCCCAAATCGACTTCGTGGCTTCGAGCTCTTTGAGCTCGGCTGCGCTGGGCTCGAAACAAAGCGCGATGGGCAGCAGACAGCTGTTTTTGTTGATTAAAAAGGAGAACTGCTGCGCGACGGGGTCGCGCAAGACCAGCTTGTTGTGTTCGGTGCCGGCGACGTGGCACTTGTAGTTGAGCGAACTGACTTTGTGGCGCACCCATTCGCCAAACTCGCCGCGCGGCGGCGCAGGCTCGAACTGCGGCGCGCGCTCGAGCTGCGGGCGCGCGGGTTCGTCGACGGCGTCACTGAGCGAAAACACATTGTTCGCGGAGGGTTGCGCGTGCACCTGACTGCCGTCGACTTGCGGATTGGGCTGCTCGTGCCACTCGCGGCCGGCGGCCTGCTGCGGCGGGTGGCGGTACATGCCCTCGAGCTTCCGCGCGTACATTTGCGGAGGCAGGTTCGCGTTCTGGTAGAACATCGGCGGCGGCATGCCATGCGGCGCGACGCCGGGCGGGCCGGGCCAGCCGTGCTGCATCATGTACATCGGCATCTGCCGCGGCACGCGGTACATGTTCGGCATGCCGACGCCGGGCGGCGGGTAGCCGCAGTTCGGCGGCGCAAACTCCGGCACGCCTTCGTAGCCTTTGTAGTAGCCCCCCATGCGCATGTCTAGGTCGCGTCGTTCTCAACTTACTGTACATCATGCGGTGGCGCTTGTGCAGCGCGCTCATGTCGTCGGCGCTCTCCTCGAGATTTTCCGCCTCTTCGTACTGCTCATCGCCGTTCGAGTCTCGGCGCCGCCGTATGACGCAGTTCTGCATGTTGTTGTAGTGGCCGCGCATCAGGCGGTCGTTCCGCAAGCCTTGAAAGCGGTTCGCGACGCGCTGGTTGCGCAGGCGCAAAAAGTCGTCTTTCGTGACGATTTTAGCGTCGAACTTGCGGAACAGCTCGGTGAGCACGCTGTACACCTCGATCTTGCGGCGGCGATTCATATTCGGCGAGTTCGGGTCTTTCAACAGATAGCAGACGTAGGGCGCACCGAGCCCGCTGGCGCGAACAATGTCTTGCTGCTTGAGGTTCAGCGGCTTGATCAGCTCCTCGTTGATGCGGTTCTTCAGTTTCGTCAAGTCGGCGAAAGTAGGCGAAATCCACGAGCGCACTTCGCGGAAACTGACGAGTTCGCCCTTATGGTCCAGCGGAATGTTGACTTCCATGGCGAGCGCGCGGTCGATTCTCGCGAGCGAGTCCTCGTCGCCGCTTTCCTGCTCCTCGGGCGTCCAGCTGTTTTCGTAAATCTGACTTTCATAGCCGCCTACCGGTCTCTCGCAGTCGCCGTTCCCGAAATTCTTGCTGACTGACATCAACCGCTCGCTTCTGCAGAAACTCCGCGCGATCACTACACACCCGGCGACGCAAATTTAGCTTGCAAAATTGAAAATGATAAACTACACGAAATGGAGTGCAGCTGGCCGCGCAGCGCGCGCCGCAGCGTTGCGCTCGCAGCGCGCTTGCGCGCGCCGCGGGGTACCGCGCGAGAGCTGCCTTTGGCGGCCCGCCGCTTAGCTGCGCAATGCCGACCGCACCGCTTTTTTTAATTGCAAACAATGTAAACGCTCCTTAACACTCGCAGCGCGGTCCGCCAAATATGCCGAGTTCGTTTAACTGGCTCCGGCTCTGCACCGTAAGTGCGCGCTCGCCGGCTGCCGCCGGCGGCACCGAGCGCGAGTTCGTAGACCGTGCGCTTCGCTCTGTTGCTGTACTGCAACTACCGCATCGCCGCGTTTCACCAGTTTTTGCTGCCGCGCCGCAAGCGCTCGAAGTACTGGAACTTTAAGCACCGCGAGCTGGCAAAGGACTTGTGGCAGTCGATAAACGATCTGCAGGGGTGGTGGGTGAAGGTTGGCCAGTTTTTGAGCACGCGCTCGGACCTGCTGCCGCCGCCGTACGTCACGGAGCTGACGAAGCTGCAGGACCGCATGCCCACGACCGCCTTCCCAATAATTCGCCGCATCGTCGAAGCCGAGCTGGGTACTTCGATTTCGGATCTGTTCGAGAGCTTCGATTCGAAAGCGCTGGCATCCGCGTCGATTGCGCAGGTGCACTTGTGCAAGCTGCTCAGCGGCGAGCACGTCATCATGAAAGTCCAGCACCCGAACGTCGCGCGCTACATCGAACACGACCTGAAACTGCTAAACGTCCTCGCGACGCTGATGGAGTGCACGCACAGCGCGTTCGGCTTTCGCGAGATCTTGAACGACTGGCAGCAACAAGCCGCGCTCGAACTCGACTTCCGGCTCGAGATGCGGAACCAGGCGCGCGCGCACCGCATCTCGCAGCAGGCGCGGCTGAAACTCGTAGTGCCTGCGGTGTACGAAGAGCTGACGACCGCGAAGATCATGGTGCAGCAGTTCATCGCGGGCGAGAAGATCACGCACTATGCGACGCAGCAAAGCGAGCAAGTGAAATTGAACACGCTGTGCTACGACGTGATCAACAGCATCGCATTTCAAGTGTTCCATCACGGGTTGCTGCACGCCGACCCGCACCCCGGCAACATTCTGGTGAGCATCGACAAAAAAACCGGCAACGCGCTGCCCGTGCTGCTGGACTGGGGGCTAGTGCACGAACTGAAGGAAGAGTCTCGGCGCGCGTTGGGCCAGTTCGTGCTCTGCGCCTGCAACATGGACATTCTCGGGCTGATCAACGCGCTGCTCAAGATGGGCTTTCAGTTCAAGCCTACTTGCAAAGCCATTCCGGTCGACCCCGAAATTTACTTCGACACAGTCGTGTACCTGCTCAAGCTGCAGACCAGCAGCGCGAGCAGCGCCTCCGAGCCCTACATCAGCGACGCGGAGCGCAACGAGCTCTGGAAGTCGCGCGACTCGCTCGGCGAGAGCAACCCGCTGAACGCGTGGCCGAAGGACTTGATTTTCTTCTTTCGCGTCGCGTCGCTGCTGCACGGCCTGTCACGCGAACTGCGCGCGACAGTGCCGTTCTTCAGCATACTGCGCGTGAACGCGGTGTGTGGCGCGCAGGCGAGCTGCAGCTCGCGCAAGCGCCTTGTCCACAGTGCAGAGAGCAAACACAACTCGGGGCTGCGCGGGCGCTTCCTGGAGCGCAAGTTGGTCGAGCGCATCAAGAAAATCCGCGAAGAGACTCGCAATGTCGCCGTGCAGGTGTTCGTGAAGCGGCGCGACGCGGTGCTCGCGAACATCAGTATCGGGCACCAGAACATTTACGAGAACCACGCAGTCACGGAAGACTCGCTGTTCCCGATCTTCACGCTGGTCAACACGTTTCTCTCCTGCGCGATTTTGCGCTTCGTGAAGCTGAACCGCGTGCTGCTCAGCGACGCGCTGAGCAGCTGGTGGACAACGCTGAAGCATGCGTCCTTTGCGCACTTGACGGTGGAGGACTTGCTGGCGGGCCGCTGCGGCATTCACGATTCGTTCCCGTCGACACTCAGAATGAACGACATTGCGGTGTACCGCACGATGATCGAACTCATCGAGAAGTCGCGGCCGCGCTGCGCGCCGCAGACGTGCACACACTTCAGCTACTTTACGCAGACCTACTTGCTTAACGAGCTGCTCGAGTGCATCACGCGCGTGCGGCCGGCCGGAGTGTACCTGCAGCGCGTGCTGCTGCAGCGCTTCAAGCTGTCCGAGCTAAACGCGAGCCTGCACTACCCGCTCGCGCCGGACCCGTCGTATCAACTAACCACGAGCTCGCTCAGCGCCGAAGTCGTCGCGCTGCTCAAAGAGTTGGACGGCCGCGGCGCAAAGCCAAAAGCGCGCGGCGCCAAAGCGCGCAACAAGCCGCGCGCGCTGGCCACGCAGCTGTACACCACTTGGACGGTCGCCGACCGTCCGCGGCAGAGCACGCCCAATTCGATCAAACTCGTGCCGCTGCAGCTGCTGTACTTGAACGGCAACCGCATGCGTCTGCCGCCAAGCAAGACGCACGCCAAGCCGTACAAGCAGCACCTGCTCGTCGACGCGCAGCGCGACATCGACTTTCTGACGTTCACCGAATACTACCTGAACAACATGTTGTCCGAGAGCCGCCAGTCGGACGACGAGCACTACAACGCGTGGCTGGCAAACCTGCAGAAGGCGCAGAGGCGCCGCTCGCGCGAATTCTTGAGCAAGTACCACGCGACGAACGTCGGCTTGCTCTCGAACGCGCGTAATTCGCAGTTCACGGACTACTGCAAAAATGTGGTGAACTGCGCCCCGGAGCCGTTGTCGATGCTGAAGCTGCTGGTTAAGCGGCCGATTCTGTTCGACCCGTTGAACGTCAACTCTTCAATCGGCCGGCACCTGTTCATTCCGCCGCAGTGCGCGCGCGCGAATGCGAAGCTGCTCACGCTCACGCTGCACAACGCGAAGCTCGCGCTTTCCGAGCCGATTTACCGCCGCATTTGGGCGCGCGAATACTACACGGACCGCTCGCTCGAGAGCCGCATGTACACAGCAGGCTTCGCGGCGACGATGGGGCTGGGCTTCATGCTGTTCAAGCTGCGCAAGCTCGACTCGCGCAGCTGCGAAAACGCTTCGAAGTACCTAATGCCCATCCTAAACACGCCGCACCGCCTGCTCGTGAAGCGCAAACAAGTGTCGCGCGTGTTTGACACATTCTCGGCACCGCGGAAGCGCGCAGACCTGTTCGCGGCAAAGGCCGTGGCCGCGGAGCCGCGCGATAGCGCGCCGCGCGCCGCGCCGGGCTCGCAGCCGCTTGAGCGCTGCGAGACTGAAGAAGGCGCACAACGCCAAGCGCGCAGCGCGTGCGCCGCGCTGCCGCAAATCCACCGCCGCCAAGCGAGCGCGCGGCGCGCCGCAGCGCACGGCGGCGACGTTACTGCGTTCGGCTGGGCGGATATGTTTGGCAGCATCTGCATGCACGTTCCAGAGTACGACCTGTCGTTCACGATTTTGGTGAACAACGTGCTCGCGAGCAAGAATTTGCGCGACGAGCTGCTGAACATCATTTTGGAAGCCGTGCGTCTCAAGCTGGTGCACGAGTAGGCCTCGCGGCCGGAGCACGCCCGCGCCGGCGATAATATTTAAAGTAATTACGAGCGCACCGAGCGCGAGCCTGCAGCGCACGCAGTCGCCATGTCCAGCAGCAGTCTCTGCTCCCACGAGAGCAACTTCATTGTGTCCAACGCGTAAGTGGCGCCGGCGGGGTCGCAGAAAAATTCGGCTGAAGCGCAACAAGAAGTCTGAGGAAACCGTCGAGCTCGACGAGCTGCACCAGACGTTGTTAGCGGTGTTTGACTCTACTTTTGTGCGGAAGCACGCCACGAACGTGTACATTTTGACTGAGTCGGCGTGCATCGCGCTCTACACGCAGCTGCGGTTCCCGCGCAGCGTCAAGGTCTTCGACGCCGTGATCCGCCGGCTGTACGCGGAGCGCAGTGGCGCGCTGACGGACGACGACGGCAAGTGCATCATGAAAATCCAGAGCAACCGCGTGCGCGAGGAGTTGCTGAACTTGCCGCGCGGCTTCTGTCTGCTGAGTCGCGCGAGCCTCGACTTCGCGAGCGTCGACCGCAGCCAGCTGCACGCGCCGCTCAACGTAGAAGTTCCGTTGGGCGAAGCGGCGCGCGGCGTTTGCAAGCACTTCGTGCCGCTGACTTACCACCGCGGAATTTCGCTGGGCAGCACTATTCTGGCCAGCCGAATCTTATACTTCTGCGATCGAGACCGCTCTGAAACTTGACGGAGCCTACGGGGATAGCCTCGTAGCGCTGCAGCTCGCGAGGCTTCTGTTGGCAGACGCGGTCTACCCACGCGAACTTCGACACTTTCATTTCGCCCATCAACCACCCAGTTTTTTTCGTCGGAAACGTCAGCGGTCTTCCCGCCTCAATTACCACGATTTTGTTGACCTTGCGGCCGGCGGGATGCGCGTGGCACGCGCACACCACGCCCTCCGCCGCGTTTAACTCGTACTCTTTTCTCTTCATTGCACGCAGAAAAAATGCGACTCAGCACGTCCAACTCAGCGTTGCCGCGCGACTCAGCCGCAGCCTCGTCGCGGCTGCGGCACGTCGCAGCGCGTGCAACTTATTTCGTCCCACATCCCCTTCACCGCAAGAAAGGCAGCGCAGGTCAGCGCTATGCGCGCGAAGGAACGGTGTAAGCGCGAGGCGTCAGATACGCGTTTAACTGCATAACTGCGACGCAAAGTTGCGCCGCGTCAGCTAGAGTGCGGACAGCTGCGCGACTTCGCGAAAGGCGGTCTCCTTGAGTTTCGCGTCTTCAACGAGGTGCATCACGACGCGCTCGAACTGGCTGAGTCGCTGGCTGAGCTCCAGCACGCTCGCAGCCTGCAGCGAGTGGCACTTCTGCTCGTGCACCAAAACCTGCATCACGTTGGCGAAATCCAAGAGGTTTTTTTCATTGTTCTTGACGCCGAGCATGAGCTCGTGCAGTTTCTCCGAGATGTAGTCGAAGGGCAAATGCGTGACCTGCTTCGCCTCGAGTCCTTGTTTGCCGTACACGTGCTCCTGCAACGGCGCTTCTGCGCTGAGTTCCGGCTCGGGCTGTGGCGCGGCCAGCTGCTGCTGCGTGCAGAATTCCTCGACCCGCGAGAAGCATACTTCGACGTTGCTGCGCACAAGCGCGGCAATTTGGCAAATTTCGCGGGCCGCTGCGTGCAGAAACTTGCGCCCGCTAGCGCCCTCGCGCAGCCCCAACGCGCTGTAGAAAAGCCAATTGCGCAGCTGCAACTGGCTTGAGCGCGCAGCGCTGCCGCCGCACAACGAGGGCACCAAAAACGAGCCGAGAACGCACGCCGAGTAGTTGCACCCTTCGATGCGTTCTTTGAGCCGAGGACTGAAGTCATGCGTCGAGAGCTCGGTGCCGAGCTGCGTTTCCAGTTCAATGTGCAGCGAGACCAAGCGCTCGGCGAACAGCTCGCGCACGCTCGCTGCGGACAGCGACTCGAAACCGAGCGTCAGCACGGCAGCGTCCAGCTTCCGCGATGCCACCAGCCGGGGGATATCGACGAGCAGTTCTGTGCGGCAGGAACGCGCTCGTGCGTTCGAACTTAAGCTGAAAGCCGCCTTGCGCGAGGCAGCGTGTTTCTCAGAAGACTGCAAACTGACTAGCCGAAACGCGTGGTTGTACAGCGCGAACAGAAGGTCTGCTGGAGCGAGTTGGCGACTTACTGACGCGTGGAGCGGGTGCGCCGTGGTGGCTCACTATAATCCGCAGCCTGCGCAGCTCTTCCATGACAAGGTGCAAGTAGCGAGCATGTAGTTTTACGAAACGCTGAGCGCGCTGCACCGACGAACGGCACGCAGTCGCGGAACGCCGGGAGTATTACGGTCAACAATTTATAAAAAATGCAGTGCAGCACGCTGCAGGCGCCTTCGCTGCAGCCAGCAAAGGAAGCCGAGTGGGCGGCTGCGTCGGGCGCGCTAAAGACGTTTGGCGACTTGGATCT